TTGAAATTTAGAGGCTACATCCCCGCCTAAATAGAACTCAAAGATTTCAAATTCATCTCCCAAGTGTGCGTAGCTCCCGCGTATGGCCTCGTGAGAATTCCTGACAGGGAGGCTGAAATTTTAAAAGAATGTTCCCCGCCCACGTACAACATAAAGCTTCAAATTCAACCTCCAGGTATGCGTGTTTCTCACGTACAGCCTCGCGAACATTATTGGCTGGAAAATGGCTAACTCAAGAACCGTGAAAGCTGAGAGACCGAAATTTTAAAGGAATATTCTCCGCCCATGCACAAATTAAGGTTATCAAATTCAGCCCCAGGCATGTGTCGTTCTCAAGTACGGCTTCATGAAATTTTTTGCGGAAGAGCTGCTAACTCGGGAGCGGGAAGAGCTGGAAAGCTGAGATTTTAGGAGAATATCTCCCGTCCAAATAGAATTTGAAGTTTTCAAATGTAGCCTCCAGGTACGCTTGGTTTTCGCGTACGGGCACTCTAATTTTTGGCGGAAAAATTACTCATTGAACGGCTAGGTTATTTTCAAAAGACGACCGCTGAACAGAAATTGTTTATTTTCGTTTATGCAAAATTTATGATGATTTGGGGTATTAAGTGCACTAGGTGGATATAAAGAAACAACCGTTCATGCAGTTAACCTAATTAATTCAATTCTGGTGCAAAAACACATGATCGCATAGGCCCGCCCGGTGCGTTCCAGCCTGGGTTTAACAAACGACCGCTCGAGCACTTTTTCAAAAAGAGAGCATTTACCGGAAAAACAATCGGACTTCATGCAAAAAACTGGTGATCATGTAACTGAAAGTCCGTGCGGCTCTATAATGCACTACCTTTGTCTCAACCTACACCCTTCCTCCTGCCTGCTAGAAGGGGCCAAGCACAATCAATATGAGCCCAAGTGTTAGGCTGTTGCACAGAAACCATTCCTGCTATTAGCGACTTGCGAGTTTAGTGCAAAAACGCATGATCGCACCAGCAAGCCTGCTGCGTTCCAGCCTGGGTTAGTAATTCATAACACAACAAAACAGCAACACTGCTGGCGAGAAAGGGTATTGTGCTGAATAGGAATGTATACAACTCTACGAGCCGAAACATTCCAGTTATTTCCTTCTCTACTACAGTACACATTTTCCTCATGGGTTTCTCATGTTCTACTTATCTCTTTAAGCTTCTCCAACTTGTTATTTTTCTTTCTACTGTTGTTCTAAATATCAAAATTCGTTTCCAAAATGTTACCTTAAT